TTAAATTTAGGTAATGGAGTTATATGGACGTTACCTGGTGGAGAACAGCCGTAGCTTCAGAAGGAGTTAGCAAAACCGGAGTTAGTGGGGCAGGGCCAGAAAGGTTCCTCATATGACCAACCGATTCGGCGGCTGCGGGCAGAGGACCTATGAAGCCCGGCTCAGAACCCTAAAAATGTAAAACGTCAACTCAAAGACAATTGCGATTAGCATACGGAGATGAAGACAAAGAAAAATACTAACCACGGCTTCGCTGCTCTGATTAACAGAAGGGTCGCCCAACTCTGAAGAAGAGACGTCGACTGCTTCAAAGTGTTGGACTGGTACAGGGTCTGCTTGGACTGGTTCAGGGTTTGCTTGGACTGGTTTAGGGTCTGCTTGGACTGGTTCAGGGTTTGCTTGGACTGGTTCAGGGTCTGCTTGGACTGATGCAAGAATCGACGGTCCTGGTTCTGCGTTCGGTTCAGCCAAGTCAGGAATCGCCGGCCGTTGTTGTTCAGTGATCGGTGGTTCGACAACCGAATCGGCTGCCGCAAGTCCCTGAGATAAGGAATATAAGTTAGGCTCTAGATACGAAACATAATCTCACAACATGCTAAATGCTCACCGGGAGCACACGCGGCTGAGGAAGGGTAGATGTGGATGAGCCAATCACCATGACGGTCGGGTCCTCTTCCCGACGAATCACTGAGGGTCCCGCCGATGGGTTGACGGAACTTTGGCCGACCGGCATTTCCGGTTCGGAGTGGGAGAAGGTGGATGAAGACATCTGCCTCAACGTCGGGTCCTTGTCAAGACGCATCACGGGCAGCTCCTTCGGTATACCGCGCAATTGTTCACCACTTCGGGCTGCAGTCGGAAAAGAAGTTGCCTGTCCGCACGTAAAGAGGTAAAGTTACAAACCATAATTACGAGAAATGAAAGACTTTGGGGGGATTACCTCGGGGACGGATACTGAGTCGCTTCCCAAAGAAGCTGGTAGGGCAGATGCCAACATAGTTGCTCGGGTGGTTGGCTGATCGGTTACGTTAGCGCATGCTGGATCAACCGACCTATCTCTTCCATGTTCGCCAGTCTGGTCGGCTGGTTTCTCAGCAAGCGACTCTGAGGAAAAACCTTTTCAAAAATAAATTAAAGGAAAAACACAATTAAGGTTACCATTTATACTTACCCATGTATCGCCGCACATTGGCAGGCATCCAGATTGGGTCCACAGGTAGGGACACCAAATAATCCTCTACCGCCTGCCGATCATATACCGGACGTGTGGTGGCCTTCGGTCGGGTGGCTCTTTTCCTCCTTGGAGCGCTGGGGCCTTCTGCGGGAGCCGCCCGTTTGCTCCTCATCACCGTGGCAGGAGTTCGCGACCCCAAAGCAAGTGTTGGAGGAGGGGTTAATATCGCCAGCAATTGGTCACTTGGAGGCGCAACCACCGCCCAGGTATCCGACCACCAAGACGGAAAGGTTTCCACCGTCTTCGGGTCACGGCGGAAAGGAAGGTAGGAGTTGGAAGTTATGTAAGAAATGAGCTGGGAGAGATAAGGTGAAATCAAAGAAGGGGTAACTCGCCCGTCCGGGCTCTGAGTTATTAGGTGTGGACGGGCGAGTGGGCCCGGTAAACCTTGACAGCAGCCGAACTGTCGAGACAAAAATTGCGGCTGATAGTTAAAAGTATGAAAAGACTTACGGTTTCTCTTATCAAACTTAGGACTAGAAAAAAAGGACCGTGGTTTTAGAGCTGAGTCCCAAGAATGATGATAAGTCGGGTGAGGCAAAGGGTCTGGATACGACAAGGGGTAATTGGTTTCCGAGTAAGGCCAAAAAAGTTCAGTAAGATACTGAACGTAAAGCTCATAGACAAAAAATTTGGAGTTTGTACGGTCGTCCGAAAGAATAGCCGCAATTACACGGTCAGAAGGAGAAAGACTGGAAGAGTTTGGAGTTAGCTGAGCAAGGGCTAAACCAAGAGATCTACGAGGGTTCGGGGTAATGGGCACCCGACCACAAAAGGTGTTCGGAAAATAGAGTCTCAGCCAAAGCTCCAAAAACTAAAAAGGACCAGACGCAGCTGTGTCCCCCCTCTTCGTATCTACTAGACGGTCGCTAACTCTGGATAACCCCTCATACAAATTGGCCAAAAAGAGGGTCCCTAAAGAAAAGAAGCGACCAGTGGCTAAGTGGATGGCTAAGTCAAGTTGCGAGGTCAAGATTGATTTGGAGGGAGAAAGAATTACATATCTGAAGAAAGGAGCAGAAAAGAAGGTTCAACATAAAAACAAATATATAAAAAAATGAATTACATAGAGGAAATTCTATACCTGCATAGCCAGAACAGCAGAAAAGCGGTGTGCTCCAAAGCAGTTACTGGAGAACCCTCTGTACCCCGAAAGCGGATGACAAAGTTGGTCCAGTCGCGTTCCCTCTCAGGTATGCGCGCAAGCGACCAGCCTTCATGGTCGGTAGCTGGTTCTTGCCCATCCAACGACCCAAGGACAGGGTCGTCACCAACCACGGGGAGGTGGGCAATCATAGCCACATCCATTAGGGTTGGGCCCATGGGGCCATTTGGGAGAAGGAAAACACCCAGTTGGGCATTCCAAAAGGCAGCCATAGCAAAAAGAACTTTGTCGTGAAGATACAACGGTTGAGTCGCTAGAAAAATGGCCTTATCAATCCCTTGCCGTTGCCATTGTTCATGAAAAACAGGATATAGCCTCGAATACCACGAACGAAAGGCATCTTTGGGATCGGTAAGATGTGTTTTAATATGATCATTAATGCGTTCGGGTTTGAAATCAGGACTATTAATAGCTAAGGGAGTTACAGAACAGATAATACTCTTCATACGAACAGCATCCTCAGAAGATGTACAATAAGGACGAACAGTGGGAATAAGAACAGCAGAAGAAACAAAAGGGATTTCTAGATATGAACCATCAAAAGGTAGAGCTGGGACGTACTGGTTAGCCATGGTTGAAAGCAGCAAAGCGTGAAAACACGAAGACAAAGTATTGGATCGCAAAAGCAGAAAAGCAATTACAATGCATAAGGAAGAAGATGAAGACGAAGGGGATTTAAGTAAGGTTTTTCTGCAAAAGCCCCTAATTAAACACCGTAATGATCATCTGACTCCCTCAACAAATCACATCTCACACTGATCGAGAAATTACGGCAGGGAGTCCGGCAGGAAAAGCCAAATTGTTAAATAATTTAGGGTTTATATCATTTTGTAAAAAATAATTTTTTAACAAAATAGAAAAAAATTATCGAAAGAAAAATATATATATTTTTTAAATTCGTTGGTTCCACAAATATAAAAAATATAAATTTATATAATTTATTATATTTTTTTCTCTCATCATTCTATCCCAAACGACTACCTACCGGACGTTTCTTCTTCTTTTCATACGACTAATTAAGTATATATATGATCATGTACACAATTATTTTTTAATAAAATAGAAAAAAAGTATTATCTAAAGAAAATATATATTGTTGAAAATTCGTTCGTTACACAGATATAAAAAATATATATTTATATAATTAATTTCTCATCTTTCTAAACCAAACGAATCATTGGTCGCCCAATCAAGCAACCACCATCTGCTCTCTTCAATCAGCTAAACAACCATTCGTCCAGATGATTCATTGGTCGCATTAACAAGCGACCACCATACGTCGCCTTGAAATGGCCGAACAACAATTCCTCCAGAGGATATATTGGTCACTACAATCAAGCGACTGAACTACTGTTCACAAATATGGGCGACCAATTAACAGACCATTCTTCGGACAACCTCCGTATGGGCCGTTTTATCCTTCTGTCGGTCTTTTCCTCTAATCCGACCACGTACCGTTCGTCCCATTCTTCTTCGCAGAAACTGACTTACTCCCAAGTCGGCATTAACCGACCACCATATCAAACGATCTCCGTGTGGTCCGACTCAACCGACCGCGGACCGCACGCTTTGCTCAACCGACAGTCGACCATCTGACCTATTTAAACGACTGAGAAGCAACCGACCCCCGATGAGCCAACTGAGAACCAACCAACCGTGGATCAACCGACGACGAAACAGAATCCTCTGCTCGCATTATCTCCTTAGATGGACGACTGGTCCAACCGACCTCCTTTTGACTCTACTACCATACCGTCTTACCTTTGCCCGTCCGTGGGCCAACCAACCAACTTACTTTCGTCGAACTACAGACCAACGGACCAACTTCCTTTTGTCAGACTCCAAACCAACTGACTTGCCTATCCGACTGCGTACCATTCCATCTCCATCTTCGCCAGACTTCCTCTTTCAACCGACCTCTGAGCCGTTTAGCTTATATTCAGACCCATCCACAACCGTACTACGGTTATTAATTATTGTTATTATTATTTTTTCTGCCCAACAAGAATAATAATAATAATAATAATGGTTGAAATAGAAAAAAAGTAATGCATTTATGATAATGAATACCCAAAAAAACAGACTCTCATACGACCAACCATTTAAATAAACACACAATTTACAAAAATACTAACTGCAATCACATCCCTTACCTTGAATTCAGCTACAAAGTTAATCTACATACGTAACTATATCTACTAGAGCCAATCTACCTGACCAAAATAAACACATAGAACCTGCCACTCACTAACTTCTATCACTTCTTACATGAAAAAACGTATCACTTACTAACTTCTATCACTTATTACATAAAAAAACGTGTTACTCACTAACTTCTATCACTTCTTACATAAAAGTTACCACTCTAACACAGCAACCACTCTAACAAAGCAACACGCCAACAACATCCATTTAATTATAAAGACAAGATTGACTTTCAATACGTGCTACATTCTTCCTTAGCTTTTCTTTTTCACACATTTCATCACTCTTCCATCAATTCTCCTTACTGCTAATCACTACAAGCCAATGGCCAACCACATAACACCCATAACTGATTTAACCATGGAAAATAGAAACTGGACAGTCCGTGCGTTATTCGTAGAGATGTCCGCTATCAGAACAACCAAGACCAGTGGAAAGCCCTACGGACGATATGTCTTTGTTGACACACAGGTATTCAAACAATCCTACTTATAAAAATAATTGAGTGAATTTATGTACTACTATCTAAATTTTACATTTAATATACTTTATTTAATATGGAATAAAATTTAAAATTAATCATATTTACTATGCTTATAATTTACTATTAGTTATTTTATAGTAGAAGAAAATTGATACATCAATTTTGTACATTACTAATTAGTTTTTTCGGGGTTAACTATCTTATTTACTTATTTTGTAGGGCACCAAACTCATGACGTGTGCCTTTTCTGCGGACATGGAAGCATATGATCATTGTTTAAAACTCTTTAAGACCTACGAGATATTTGCTAAACAAGGCAAAGAGTACAAGACGGATCTACCAAACTTCAACTCTGAAATCCAGCTCTATCTCAACAAACACTGCAGCATCGTCCCTGTTGAAACTGATCCCATATCTTCTCTAACTGGAAAGCCATCTTTCAAAAAGCTCTCATGCATTGTTGATTGCCTAGCAACAAATGAGTACATCGGTATAACTCCTATTATGTTTATGCTTTAATTCATTTGCTTGTCCATATTTTTGCATTTATACCTAATATATGATACATATCAAACAGATGTGGTCGGTGTACTGATAGATGTTGCAGAACAAAAGTAAAGAAATAAACGTCAACAACCGACCTCTTCCAACATTATAGGAGATCGTGTTCAAGAGATTGTAATCGTAACTGAGGAGTAAGCATAGATTCAAGTACAGTTATTTTGGTATCATTATATTTTTATCACCTTTTTCACATCAATGTATGTATTCATCTTTAATCACAATTTATTTCTTCTAAAAGAAGTTATGTCAATAATTATGCCTAACAACTATATTTTTAAATAAATATACTAAATTTTTATCAGCTTCCATTTCTATTCGACATCTTTTAATAGTACACTAAATTTACCAAATTCAAGTAGCATATGTTCTTCACAGTTTTCTCCATTAATTTTCATCATAATAGATTGCTACCGACAAGACTGACCTTATGGAATGAATTGGTGGACGCTGAAGGAAAGTACTTCACATCCATTGTGAAGGAAAGACCGATCATTGCGGCCCTCCACCTGAAAGCAACACTATATGCAGGTAGTTTATGCATCAACCATATTTGACTCAACATATATAAATTATTGTCAATACTTGTATCGTAGTCCACCTAATTACCATTTCACTTCATTTGATTCTATATTCGCATGTCAAGGTGTTTCGTTATCTGCAATTTCCATGGCAAATTTTATTGTTGATCCTCCATATCCTGAAGCTGACAATCTATTAAGCTGGTATTTTTTTCTATATCAAATCAATATTTTATATTTTTTATATCACAACACTACACTCTCATTGAAAGTCAATTACAAATTTCATTTTAATTCAAAACATTTTACATCACAGGAAACTCAATAATAAGGTATGCATTGATGAACTTGTAATCCAAAAACCATACTTCAACACAGTCGAAGGAAGCCCGCTAGCTGTAGTTACTCTCTCAACAATTGCAACCATGTCACAATCTACTCGCGTGAGTTATTTATAATGTATATTTGTTTATATACAAATAAAACATCATAAAGTAATCAAAAACTTGCCTGATATAGCAAGGTGAGTACAAAATCAAGGGATGTTTGTCAATCAAAGTGGATAAGAAAGTGCAACTCCACTACAACGCCTGCGATAAGTGTTACACAGCAACTCCAGCCCCAATAACACGACAGTTTTTTTGTTTAAGGTGCAAATCTGTCCAATCGTCGGAGCAAAAGTAAGAAAGACTACTCATTCTACTTTATACACATTTAAAATTTGATATATATTTATATACACGTAACAATACACATATACAAACAGGTCAATTCTGCGCTTACAGATTGTTGATCAGACGGGATCAATTACCTGCGTTGCTTATGACAATATAGCGCAACAAATTCTGAACTTTGACATACCAGAGTCGAATGAACTAGGACAACAGGTTAAACTTTAAATATTTCATCAAAGTACTATACTGTCTCATTATATATATATATATATTACACAGGAAATCATTTCACTATGCAATCTGCGCAATCAAGAACTTCAAAACCAATCATACCTCTTTCACATAAAGAAAAAGGCCGCCGCACCATCCCAAACAGAAACACGTACTTACACACTTATGTCTGCTTCCAAAGAAAACAAAGGTACATTACATTATCATGAAAACAACTATGACTAATACATCATATGGTGCAATTATATACTACTCATTTTATATAACAAATAAAATTCATGTACAGATAAGGAAATTGCTGCCGAAGAAACATTGTCAAAGAACCACCCTATTGTACACAAACACACTGGGATAACACCTGAACTGCAGGAGAAGGCAAACTGCACAACTGATACCTTAGAATCATCTGGTCCTGGTAAGAACAACAATGTATCATCCCAACAATATAAAATAATAAACATAGGTACAATTTCATAGTTTCAACTATACTTATACAAAAAACATTATTTAGGTAAACATGCAAAGAACTTGCTGCCACTGTTCGATGAGTTGCAATCAATCAATGAACACAAATCAACGGATGAAGCATCAACGAACAACAATTCGGTCGCTCCACAGAAAGAATCCAAAAAATAGTTTTCAAGCTTTTCTACAATATCTTTTGTTCTGTACTACATCCAACTACTAAACTGCCTACCTTTTTGTAATATTACTATCCGATATGTACGTACAACATTTTGAATATGTATCGGCTACATATATTTATCAAATTTCTTATTACTATAAATTCATAATTCCATTGTGTTGATGCATTTATCCAACAAACAAAAAGTAAAATTCAAAGATATAGAAATATCCTTAAATTTGAATAATTACATTAGGAATCTCTAAACACTGTAGGGTACATAAGTGTTGATGTATTTTTCCAATAAACAAAAGGTAAAATCCGAAAGTACGACCAAAAGACAAAAAAACACTCCTTCGCCGCCCCCACCGAGGGACGAACCTACTGTTCACTTAGCAGGCACCCGACTTTTCTTCGTCCGACGACGTACCAACCGACTTGCATATCCGATCGCATCCCATCCGTCCCGCTTACCCGACTGCTGAATAACCGACCTGCTCGTACAACCGACACACCCACCGACCTGCAGACTTTCAGACGTATAGACCATCCGACACGCCAACCAACCGACCTTACTATACAACCACATACCGTCCGACCTACAAACTTTCCGACCTATGGACCATCCGACCAACTAACCAACCAACCTGACTATCCGACCGCAGACCTTCCCACATGCGAACCGACCGAGGACCAACCAAGTTGACTATCCCACAGCGGACCAACCGACCTGACCTACCGAAAGAGGAGCAACCGACTTGCCTATCCGACCGCAGACCTTCCGACGTACAGATCCGATTGATAGCCAACCGACCCAGGAACAACCGAACGGACAAACGGACCTCAACGCAAATATTTCTTCTTTTCCACCTGACTTCGTGCATAACTTCCTTTAAGATCCTGCTACTTTTCTTTTTATTATTAGTTTTTGTACGTAACAAATTGCATTATAGAATAGTCGCGCGGTATACCGCGCAAAAGCGGGTTCTAGTATATATATATACACGTATGTATTATAACCATATAATGATACTTATAGTTTATTTCGTCTGGTTTGTTTATTTAAGAAAAAAATTTCAATATACTTTTTAAAAAATTAATATACGACATAAATTCATTATTTTTATATTATTTATAAAATTCTTTATATATTATATAAAAAAAAAAATTCGAATCAAAACACACCCTTCATTTTTAAGTTAATCGATAATTTGAAATTTGAAATTTATATTAAAAAAGATCAATTTATTTATATGGTGCATAACAGATAGTTTTTCAAATATCATAATAAAATAGAGAATACTATTCGACCATAATTGAATAGCGACAGCTTTTATGTAGTACTCCATTGAACAAAATATTGTATTATATCAATAGTAATATTGATTGTGGAAGTGTGACATTTATAACCTTAATCATTACAATTATTTAATATAATAGTGATTAATCCTATTAGACACTCACCACATCATATATATATATATATATGTATAATTCTATCATATTATAATAAATATTATATCGATCTCAATAAAATAATACAGTGTATGATAATATAATAGAAATATGTATTGTAAACTAACAATACATAATAATAGTTACACACAACATATGCCACAACTAATTTATTACAAATGCATGATATAAATTAATATACTGTAATTATTCATATAATATATAATATATGACACAATTAGTATTAGGGCAAAATATATGTTAATATAGCGTAAAATATATGATATAATTGTTATTATATGATAATAATTCATGTAAAAGATATTGTTTTAATTTCGATTATAAGTTAAAAATAATAATTCATCTATTTATTAACAAATTAATATAATTCTTATTAGTCTTGATCAAAACCTGATCACTCTTATTTATGTCTTTTTCAATTTTCATGCACAATGCTGATTTGACACCCTCAATACATATGTAATAAGGCATTAGTGCATATATAATACTACCTCCATCTCACGTACCGTGTCTGCTACATTGTATACACGTTATTTTAGGAGGAGTTTAATTAGTAGATAATTAAGAATATATTAGTGAAAATAATTATCTAATAATATAAATAATTATAAATTAAGATCAAGATAACTAATTAGTTTAATTAAAATTAAAAAAATTAAAAAGTTAAAATGAGATTAAAATGTGTAATTATTTTCCAAAAAAAGAAAGTAAAATGGTATGTGGGACGGACAGAAACGGCAACGTGGATATGGTATGTGGGACTGAGGGAGTATAGTATATTTCCTTTATTCCATCTTAAAGTATTTTTTTAATATAATATTATATTTTCTTTGTTCCAACTTAAAGGTATATAATATTATATTTCATTCGTTCTAATTTAAAGTATATTTTTTACCATTTCCGTCTATTTTACTCTAAAGTATCATTTTTTTTATTTTAGTAAAAGTAATCAAACACTAATATCAAAATATCGTTAACTTTTATATAAATTACAAATATATCATTACACATATAATTACAGCGTTATATATAAAATTAAATAATAAAAATGTCAATGTTTTACAAAATTTCACTAATTAATAAAATATGGTTATTTTTAATATAATGCAATACCCCAAAGAACCCCTTTAAAGTGGGACGGACAAAATAATATATTTAATACATGTTTAAAGAACCCGTTTAAAGTGGGACGGACAAAGTAATATATTTAGTACATATTTTAACACCACATACTTTTATATAATATAGAATTATACTGATCTTTATGTAAATATGCACTCTTCGCGGGTATTATATGTGTTGACTGGTTAACCCATTTAGGACAAAAAATGTTGTCGTATATGTGTTTTATGGGATCAAACTTCTGTATTCCTTCTACTCCAGCAAATCAAATCATAACATTTGGAGAAGAGAGAGAATATAAATAAGATAAATTAAAATTTATATAATATCACCTAATTATATTTTTATTATTTGTTTTATCAAAAATAGAAAATAAGATCCTATTCAAATTTACTTTTATTCAATTTTTATTTCAATTTTTATTATATTAGTTTGATTTTAAAATATTTTTTTTTTCAAATATCACATTCGTGGTACTGAATTTGTTTATTTTATATTTTTAAGATGGTACGATTCTTATAAGTATTATAAAAAATTATATTCACATATTAATATAATATATAATATATATTTTTTATCAGTTAAAAAAAAAATTCAAATATAAAATATAAAAAAACAGTACTTGAATATAAATAACACAATAAAAATAAAAATACTTTAAATAAAAAATTTAATTTAGATATTTTTTTATAAAATATTAGATTCAAATTAAAATAAAAAATTAAATCTTTATAACAAACTTTAAAATATTATATAATCTACTTAATGTTATTATTACATAATTTATAAAATAACATAATAAAGAATTGCAAAATATAACATGAATAAAAGTATATTTGAATATAACTTTAAAAAAAAAAAAAAAATTGATTCTATAATAAAAACTATAGTTAAATAACAATATCATATGATAATTTGTTATTTTTTTAACATTTGAGAAAAATAATACTCCCTCCGTCCCGGAACTAAATATCAATTTGTTTTATATTATGAGTTGTAAGGGTATTTGTAATGTTAGTACATAGTACAAAAAATTGATACTTGTTATGGTGGGACAGAGGGTGTATATATTTACTGTAAAATAACATAATAATTTTTTAATATTAATAAAATTGAATGACCACTAAGATTGAATATAATTTTTATTTTTAATTTTGAAAACAAAAAAAAAAATTAATAAGTAATAAAAATATATTAAATTCTAAATTTTAAATATTTTTTTTCTCTTTAAAGTATCATAATTTGATTTGTTAGAACAGGGATATCGGAATAAAGAATTTGAATATTTGATGGCATATTTTGTGCGTCAGTGTTCAAATATTGTGAAATATGTGTTGATACTATTCAACCACTAATTATTTGATCAATTTAATTAAATGAGAAACCGTGTGGTTAGTAATACTACAATTTAATAACCCAATATATATTAATTAATATAAATGTTTCGTTTATAATACACAAGATAACAATTATTGCAATTGGAATAACACTTTAGTTATATATTTATATTTATTTTATAAAATATAATTTATTATAATTATTTTTTAAAAAATAAAATTTTTTTATAATACAAGTAAATAGAGAAAATAAGTTTATTTATTTAGAAAGATATTTTCAAATATTTATATACATTAATAGTATTTTTAATATCAATTAATATAAATACTAGCGGAAAGGTACGAAAGTTTGTTGGTCATTTCAAAATACATTATTATTGATTTTTTTAAAAAAATAATTATCGTTTATTATAAATTAAAAAATAATTTTTTACAAACTTCAAATGAATATGTAATTATATAAATTATGATTTACTTTATATATTTGGAATAAAATATTTAATACAACTAAAATAATTTAATGTTAAAATAAAGTTTATTATGAAAAAAATTAATTAAAAAGATATATGAAAGTTATACATATATATTTGGATGTGTTTAAAACTTGATTGATTATGAAAATAAAATTATTATTACAATTTCTGGTTTTCAACTTAACGAATAAAATCAATTCCCCAAATAACTTAATTGCAATACTTTGATAACAAAACTGTAACTCTATAATGAAAAAACATAATAAAAATAACATATAACTTAATATAAATTATGATGAATTGCATAATTTTTATATATTACAAATAAAAAAACCACCAAACTCTATCCGTAAACATTTGCATTTATTTTTTTTTCTTTTCTTTATTGTTCCCGATTCTTCTTTTTTCTGGTTTTTTTTCTAACATTCTTTTCTTTCTGTACCTTGTATGCTACAACCAGTTGTGAAAGCAAATTAACTATAAATAAATTCAAATTTTCAATTTCAACGTCCAAAAAAATTCTCTAACTGCAGTAAATATAACCTCATGAAAAGAAAATATTAGACAATGAAAATAATTAACAAACCTAAACAAAATTTAAAAATAAAAGCGAGCGAATCTTCTAGCAAACAACTTCTGATGTTTAGAAGGCAGTCTTTTCGGATCCAACTTTATGACTCTCGTTCTGAGCAAAAAAAAAAAAAAAAACACATCAAAATAAACAATTTAGAAAATAACAAAAAAAAACTATAATTAATACAAAACTTAGAACAATTGTAAAAAATTGAGAAAATATAAAAAGAAAATAAAAAAATTGTGAAAAATAAAATAAAATTTTAGAAAAATGTGATTACTCAACCCATTTATAAACACTATGAAAAACTGTAAAAATTAGTTTTCCCCACTAACACTCAGTTAAAAAACTATTTAAAATCAAATTATGAGAAAACGTAAAACCACCTCATTTATAAAATTATCTGCAAAATCACATCATTTACAAAAACTAAATATAATATAAATAGAATATATATAAATTAATACATCAATATGAGTATATATATATATATATGTGATAATCAAATTTATATATTTATTATTATAAAAATAAATATATTTAATTTTAGTTTCATAATTATTAAAGTAATTTATAAATAAATAAATAAAATTTTAGTAACAAAATTTCATAATCATAGGCATAAATATTGCAAGTTATCCTATTATAATTTATATTAAAAAAATATTAATTATATATCATAAAAATAGTAATTATAAGACTAATACATGAAAATAATAATAATAAATTATAACTTCGAGAAAAAAAAATTTAAATCCAAAAAAAAAAAATGATAAAAATATATTAAAGTAATTTATAAATAAATAAATAAAATTTTAGTACCAAATATTACATATTTATAGGAATAAATATTGCAAGTTATTTTATTATAATCTAAATCAAAAAAGATTAAATATAAAAAATATAAAAATATTATTTATAATAAAAATAATATTTATTGATAAAGAGTTAAAATGATAAAATAAAATTAAAAAAAAATCAAAATTTTAAGATTGCAAGATTGCAGAAATAGTAAAAAAAGTGGGTCCATATTGAGCTCTTATATATATATATATGATATGATATGATATGATTACTTAAATTTTGTATAATTGGTATAAATAATACTCCCTCCGTCTTAAAAGAAAAATCTTATTGGAATTCGACACATGATATGATTAAAGGAATATTGATATTTGTTGATGTAATTTTTCAACAAAAATAAAGTAAAATTCAAAGATATAGAAAATATCCTTAAACTTGATTAATTAGTGCCTGAGATTAGGAATCTCTAAACACTGTACGGTACAGAAAATAAACTGGAAAATAAAAGACTGAAATTTAAAGTGGTGATCCCCAAATCTGACTTTGCTTTGTTGAAGTTGATTGAAGATGCCTTGCCAAATGATGATCCAAATCCTTAAATATTCTTTGAAGAAAACGTTCAGAACCGTCGCACTGTTTTACCAACCGTTCCCACCAGTTACAGAACTCAGAACTGCCTCTTTGATTGACACATGTCTTTAACCGCCTCGCCAACCGCATAACCCAACGACCGACCAACCGACCAATCTAGATACATAATTGGTCGCCAGATCAAAAGACTCACTGGTCGCCCCATCAAACGACCACTATTTGGTCTCTTCAATCGTCTGACCTATCAACAGACCTTTCTTCGCCCGACTTCCTTTTTCGACCGACCCCCATAGCAGCCAACCTTTGTATCAACCGACCCATTTATCCGACTGCGGATAATCCGACCTGCTTGCCCGACCGCGGACCATCTGACTTGCTTATCTGATTGAGAACCAACCGACTGAGAACCCACCGACTGACTCTGGATACCTTATTATTATTATTATTTTTTGTGCGTAACAACATGCCTCCTCCTCAAGACTCCTAAGCATCATTTCTTATGATGTTTTAGGAGTTAGTAGGTTAGCATCCGAGGCTACGTCAGCCTCAGATCCGACCTCCATCCTTTGAGGCTACGTTGGACCCGACCTCCATTTATCGCGGACTGGTGCTGGCCTGGACGTTGGTCGATCTTGCACTACCATTGTATTCAGACTCCCGTCCGACTTATTCCTCCTTTCGGCCACTGTTGTTCTGTCATTCTTTTGCTCGCCTGAAAAGTTATGGTCGGCGACCTGACCCGTGTCCGTCCATTCGGCGGGGTCCTCCTGACCTGTATCCGTCCATTCGGCGGGGTCCTCCTGACCTGTATCCGTCCAGGTTACGTAGTCCTCCCGATTTTTGTCCGTCCAGTCGACGTGGTCTTCCCGATCTGTATTCGTCCAGTCGGCGTGGTCCTCCTGACCTGTATCCGTCCAGGTTACGTAGTCCTCCCGATTTTTGTCCGTCCAGTCGACGTGGTCTTCCCGATCTGTATTCGTCCAGTCGGCGTGGTCCTCCCGACCTTTGTCCATCCAGTCGGTGTGGTTGTCCCGACTACGGTCCGTCCATTCGGTGTGGTCCTCCCGACCATGGTCCGTCCAGTCGGTGTGGTCTTCCCGACCATGGTCCGTCCAGGCGTCGTGATCCTGCCGACCTGTCTCCGTCCATTCGGTCGTCCCTGGTCGGGCCTGTCCTCCTGTTTGGTCCTGTTTCCAGTCTGTCTGACTGGGTATATGCTCAGGAATGGCGTTGTCCGTTTGGGGGCATGACATTTCTGGCGGTGCAGGAACCGAATTCAACATGAATTTTGATTGCTCCATCAAGTTTTGCATTGCGTCATGTATTGCCTGCAGATTTGCTATCTGCTGGTCGTACATTTGCCGAAAACATGCTGTAAAACCTGCTGTCAATTCGGCCCGTAGTTGGGAAGCTTCTTCTGCCGTGATAAAGCCAACGGCTGTACTGTGGAATTGAAAATTTGCCATATGGATCAGCAATTTTCTCCCACTGTGGTCGCCAATTTGTTGATGTAATTTTTCAACAAAAATAAAGTAAAATTCAAAGATATAGAAAATATCCTTAAACTTGATTAATTAGTGCCTGAGATTAGGAATCTCTAAACACTGTACGGTACAGAAAATAAACTGGAAAATAAAAGACTGAAATTTAAAGTGGTGATCCCCAAATCTGACTTTGCTTTGTTGAAGTTGATTGAAGATGCCTTGCCAAATGATGATCCAAATCCTTAAATATTCTTTGAAGAAAACGTTCAGAACCGTCGCACTGTTTTACCAACCGTTCCCACCAGTTACAGAACTCAGAACTGCCTCTTTGATTGACATATGTCTTTAACCGCCTCGCCAACCGCATAACCCAACGACCGACCAACCGACCAATCTAGATACATAATTGGTCGCCAGATCAAAAGACTCACTGGTCGCCCCATCAAACGACCACTATTTGGTCTCTTCAATCGTCTGACCTATCAACAGACCTTTCTTCGCCCGACTTCCTTTTTCGACCGACCCCCATAGCAGCCAACCTTTGTATCAACCGACCCATTTATCCGACTGCGGATAATCCGACCTGCTTGCCCGACCGCGGACCATCTGACTTGCTTATCTGATTGAGAACCAACCGACTGAGAACCCACCGACTGACTCTGGATACCTTATTATTATTATTATTATTATTATTATTATTATTATTATTTTTTGTGCGTAACAATATTATATTAGTAGTTGGTAAAAAATACGAGTAAATTTTTTTTTTGCCATTGTAAGCGTAGTTGTAAAAAAGATAGTTGAATTTTCGTAATAATAATAAAAAGGTAATGAAATTTTTATTGTAATATGTTTATTTATGAAAATTAGACTATTGTTTTAATATGAACAAAAATAGAAAAATAGAACTATTATTTTATGACATAGGAGAATAAAATTTAGATGGTTAAAATATAAATCGATATATATGTGTGTGGTTTTTACAATTTTTAATTATAACAAAATTTTATTAAAATCTATATTTTAAATAAATTAAAATTGACTTGAAATCATGAAATTTTGAAAATAATATTATTTTAAATAAAAATAAAATAGATAAACATATATATATATAATAAATTGGGAGTATGTATAATAAAAACTCTATTAAAAAATTGATAAAAAAATAACAAGTAAATGAAAAATAATAAGTAGATGAAAAATAATGCAAATATTATTATTATATGTTAAAGTAAGAATAATAATATTATAAATAAATTATATATAAATTTAATGAGTAATAATAATATAAAAAAGAAAAAAAGAATTAATACGTTTATGTTATATACTCCCTCCGTCCTATGTAATATGAGTGTATTACTATAGATACGGGAATTTAGGTAAAGTATAATTAGTAAGTAATTAAGCAGTGTATTAGTAAAAGTAATTATTATTTAGTAAAAATAATTATAGATTAAGATAAGTAAATAGTTTAATTAAAATAAAAAAAAATTATAAAATTTAAAATGCGATTAAAGTGCATAATCATATTTCAAAAAATAGAAATGACAAGTTACGTAGGACGGACGAAAATAGAGATAAATTATGTAGAACGGAGAAAGTAATAAATAGTATAGTAATATTTATTAAGTATATAAATATATTATATATATGAATGTATAATAGAGAGGGGGGGATTGTAATAAAACTGTGATGAATTTGTCTTAATTCAATTGATAATGTACAATGGCCTATTTATAGGCAACAAAAGAATACAAGTAGTGGCATCTAAGGAGCCACGAAACATCCATCCAACGCATACACCGTGCCTACGTCTATATAACGTGATGTATGACAGTTTAACAAATATGTTTGATTTTGTATTGCCACGAGGCTATACATTTTTTTTTATTATTGGGCCTAGAGCTGTTAAACGAACCGAGCCGTTCGTGAACTTGGCTCGGTTCGACTCGGTTAAAGCTCGTTTGCGAACGTTAACGAGCCGAGTCGAACAATATAAACAGGTTTGTTTAATTAACGAACGAGCCTGAGCTTTGGTCGCGAACGTTCGTTTAAATAATATATTTATTATAAATATTATATATGCATATAAAATTATAATTTATAATTAAATAAAATATTAATTTAAAATATATAAATAAAATAATTTTAAATTTTTTTTATAATTTATATATAAATTTTAAAAAATAAGACAAACGAACTCGAACGAGCTTAATCGAGCCTAAACGAGCCGAACACGAATACGAGCTCAAACAACAAAAATTTTTAACGAGCCGAGGTCGAACACTACGAACGAGCTTGAAAGTTTAACGAACGAACACAAACCTTGTTCGCGAATGTTAACGAACATTTAAAATTTGACTCGACTCAATTCGGCTCGGATCATTAACAGCTCTAGTTGGGCTTATTATTTAAATAATAATAATAAAAAAAAGGACGAATGTGATGGACTGTAAAATATTAATAATAATAAATAATAATAATACTCCATAATATTATTTACTTTATTATTTTAATAATAAAAAAATCTTAGTTAACTGTTTATAAAATTTTGATTTTATTTATGTGTTTTTTTTTGAAATATATGTAATATTAGAAAGATAAATATATTGAAAAAATGATGAATCAATTTTTTAATAATAACATTTAAATTAATTGATATATATATTGTTAGGATAAATAAGTAGATTATACATTATTTTTTACTTCTTTCAATGGGACTTTTTATGTTATATTATTGGGACATAAAAACTAAGAAAGAGGATAATAAAATTGTGTGTGGATAATTTTTTTTTATTATAAATGAATTATGCATAAGTTAACGAATAAAAAATATGACATAATTATCCCAAATGAAAAAATTACTTTATAATTTAATTATATTAAAATAATAGTGATAAGTTAATAAAATTTAGCTTTAGCTTTGTTCAGACATTTTAAATTCTATATTGACACAATTTTCAATTAAATTATAATTTTAAACATTACTTATAAAAATATGAATAGACACCATTAATATTATATATAAACATCATTTTTGCAATATTTATATATAAAATCCATCATATCCAATATTAAAAATATTAAAAATTAATCGTGTGAAATATTTTAATTTTGTTCAAATGATCCTTATATTAAATTATTATATATTCAATAACAACAATTAATTTTACAATTTAATACAATTTATAACTACACGTGCATAGCAAGGCTTCCCCTCCGGTAGCTATAAAAGAACCTCACTTACATTTTTATGTTGATCATAGATATTAGATATATAATGTATTAGTTTGTATCATATAAAATTTTATATTTTATAATACTCCCTCAGTCCTATTGGAAGAGTGACATTTGTTTTTTGCACGTAAATTTTTTAATATAAGTATTATACTCCCTCCGTCCATTTACAAAGTTTATATTTACTTTTGGCGCGGTGTTTAAGAAATAATAGTATTTTAATTATAGTGAGTATTAAAAGTAGTGTAATGACATTTTTGCCCTTACTTTTTTTGTGTAAAAGTAACGATGTAATGTAAAGTAAGGGTATTTGTGGAAAAAAAGTAGAGTATTTAATGAAATATTAACTTTGTAATTGGACGTCCCAAACTAGAAATATGTAAACATTGTAAGGGGACGGAGGGAGTATTAGATTGTAGTAAAAAAAGACAAAATACCCCTATTAGTATGGTGTAATGTAAAAGTAATAGCATTTGTGTAATATATTGTAAGTTGAAAGGGTATTTATTATGTTAGGTAAGCAGTATAATTACTAAATTAGAAAATTGTAATCTTATTTCGGGACGAACAAAAATAGAAAATGGTAACTTTTCAATTGGACGGTTGAATTAGAGTATAATATTAATTCTGAATATATTCTACTAAGTTGTAGTTTTAAAAATATTTGATATATTTTTAATTTATTTTCAAAGCAAATGCTATATATTAAGGCTGCGCTTCGTTTTCTGTTTTACTAATGGTTTTTCCCCTTCAATATAAATTTGTTTTAAATCAAAAATTATATTATTGTAGTATTGTTTTTTATTAAAATTTTACTACCAATCAGTAACAAAACAACATATACGTATATATATTTAGACTTTAATAAATAAATAAATTGAGTATTTAATGTAATATTTTATAAAATAGTTATCCAATTTAATATTTTTTTTTTAAAAAATATCAGTGATAAATAATATTTCTTCTGTCCCTGAAAAAATTGTGCATTTTGTTTGGACACTAGAATTTAAATAGTATAGATTAATTATTATTAAAAAAAAAATTAAATATTTATTTTACTCCATCAAATCATTCAAATAAAATAAATAAATATATATATATTTTTTTCTTCTCAGTACATTACCTAATTTTAGGTTTTATTCTATCCACTTAAATTTCCGTACCAAAATCTAAATGTTGCTTCTTACATGGGACAAATGGAGTACTTCTTTGGAGTTTTATAATAGATGAAAAAATAAGAAGTATTTTATTGATCAGTGGAATTGCATAAGAGATTTTGATATTTTTGTCATTTAACTTTATATATAAATTAATTGTATATAATAATATATTTGTAATTTAAATAAAAATTAAAAATTATTTTTATATTAATTATTTTTACTACAGAAAAAAAACTTATAAAAAATACTTTGAATTGAAAAAAAAAAAAAAGGAATATAAAAACTTTTTTACTATAAATATATAATTATATATTAAAAGTAGTTATAGTGTGTGATTTAGGGTTTATTTGTTTAGTATTTAGAGTTAATTTTTTTTTTTTTTATGTGAAAGTATTGAAAATTGCATCGGTAATATAAAAAATAATATTTTATATTGAATGTTGACTTTTATAAAAGGATAAAATATATACATTGAAAATAGTGTCAAAAAAAAAATGTTAGGGCAAACAAATCTTTACTAACTTACTTAAAAATACACTTTCACTTCCACTCAAATATTTAAATAATTTATAAATAAATGTGAAGCTTATTTTAATTTTTACAAAAATGTTTATTATTTTTTAGCAAAAATATGGGAATCATCTTATGGTACTAATACTAATTAATAAACTACTTTATACACATTAAAATGAAAAAAAAATAAAATAAAAATAAAATTGCACAACGAAATTGAGTATTTTATTGTACAAATAATCATGACCTTAAAACAATGAATTTATTTGTTAGTATTTTAATTTAAGATATTTTTATATATAATTATAAATTAGATTAATAATATATAAACTACAGTATTAAATATTATTCCTTTTATAAAAAATATAATTAATTAATAATAAAAATGTATTAATAAAAATAATTATTATTTAATAAAAATAATTTTAAAATTAAAATTAAAAAAAAAACAGAATAAGTGAAAATACGTGGACACCGAATATTAGTATATGTTATATTCACGCCATTAGTATCAGTAAAAGTAAAAAGACTAAATTGTTAGTATTATATGATATAAAAGTAACGATATTTGTAATATATTATAAATTGAAATAATATTTATAATGTTAGGTAGATATTTTTTTTATATTTTATTATAAATAAGGACTAAAATTAAAAAAAAATTGATAAACTGTCAAGCAACGGAGCATGTTGACAATGTGTCGAAAATTTGGATGGATAACATATCCAATATTTTATCTATAATTATTTATATTCTGCGTGTGTCGAACAATGGTGTGGACCGTATTGATGTTATCCGATCCTGAATAGTGAATACGCAGACCACTACCGTTGATCATGAGGGCCCCACATGACCTACGGTGTAGATTTAACGCGAGCCAGCTGCAATGCAATATTGATTCTTGTCTTGTCTTGTACGGCCACGCCGCGTATTCTACGTGTATCGAATTCTCTTCACAGTCTGAGCTACCAAAATCAATCGAATGCGCCAAAATCAACGGTCGCTATCGGCAGATCAATCATCCATCGGAAGCCACCCACAGCTGATCCGATCCCGTTTTTTCTCCATTCACTTCCCCTGATCGTATTTCTTCCAACTGGTATTCTGTGGCTGGAATTATAATAAATCTTGAAGATCTTAGACTCACTCAGACTGAATTTTCAAGCTATTCGGATTTCTTGGCACATAAAAGCTCCCTAGTATAGACCTGTCGATTCTCTTTATCGCTTATCGCCGCCATTTCGAAATTGGGTTTCCTTTGTACTGTTCTACTTTTTTTTGCAAGCACAAGCTCGAGCACGCTCGTACTCTGCTAATTGCCTTTGAATTTTGGGTGGATTTATTGGAAATTGAGCTTATGTTCGTGAATTTGGATTTAGGTGAGGATTAGGTCGGATTTGGGATATTAGTTAGTTAGTTTGTATTTTGCTTTGTTGTTGTTGTTGTTGTTTATGATGTTTGAGCATTCAATGATTGGGTAATGTAACAGTGTACATCTTGATTGATTCTGGTTGATCTGATCTGAGATGCTTACAGGAGGAGGCAGTGTTGTTTGTTGTTGAAACTGTTGGAAGGAACAGTCGCTCTTTGAATGAGTCATCCCAAAATTAAGCGTAGAATTGGCAAGTATGAGGTCGGGAGGACGATTGGGGAGGGGACATTTGCCAAGGTTAAGTTTGCAAGGAATTCGGATACAGGGCAAGCTGTGGCCATCAAGATTCTTGACAAGGATAAAGTCCTAAAGCACAAAATGGCAGAGCAGGTTGTTTTTGCATATGTTTGTTATCCTCCTCGTGATCATACTTACATACATACATGTTTAGATGCTCAATTTTGTGTTGGTTACTGTATTTTTGTCGATAATTGGTAGGAGGCACCGAGGCGATTTAGTTATTTAGGTATTTGATTCTTGCAATCTTTTGATATTCATGTTGACAAATGGATGTATCTTGTCTTGTGCCCCTTCATTGGGCAGATTAAGCGCGAGATATCAACAATGAAATTGATCAAGCATCCCAATGTTGTTCGCATATATGAGGTAGGTAGGTAGGTAGGGTGCATAATGCGTTATAGATTTCTATCTATGCTTTACTCTATTGTTTATTTCTATTATTGCAAACTTCGAAAGTATCCTCATGTTGAAGGAACTTGTTTTCGATAGGTGCTGGCAAGTAAGACCAAGATATTTATTGTTTTAGAGTTTGTTACCGGCGGAGAGCTCTTCGACAAAATTGTAAGATATTTATTACTTTGGAGGGAGGGAGCCAATCAACTCTGTTTTGTTACTTTGTGGTCCTAAGATTGGATTCTTTATATGTATGTGTGTGTGTGTGATGTAAAGGTAAATAATGGAAGGATGCGAGAAGACGAAGCAAGAAAATATTTTCAGCAACTCATTAATGCAGTTGATTATTGTCACAGTAGGGGAGTTTTTCACAGGGATCTGAAGGTTGTCTGTCGATTTTGGATAGGAACTATCAGAGGAGCATAATTGAATTGGATGGATATTCTTACTCGATTTTACATGAAAAAAGTTGACATTTTCTTGACTGTTGCAGCCAGAAAACTTACTACTGGATGTTGCTGGAAACCTCAAAGTTTCCGATTTTGGATTGAGTGCCCTATCCCAGCAAGTCAAGGTAAATTTCGGGTCCAAAATATCACGAAAATTTTAACATCATACTTTTCTGATTTTGGTTTCTTTAATCAATTCAGAAAGTGAACTTAATAAATAGTATATCAATGTGATATGGCAGGATGATGGTTTGCTGCATACTGCCTGTGGAACTCCAAACTATGTTGCTCCTGAGGTACATACAAGTTATTTCATCTCATCAACCTCAATATTATATCAATATGATGGATCTTATTGACGAGGTTAAAATCCATGAAGGTTTTAAATGATCGAGGCTACGATGGAGCAACTGCAGACTTATGGTCGTGCGGGGTCATACTCTTTGTACTGCTTGCAGGCTATTTGCCTTTCGATGATTCTAATCTTGCGAATCTTTATAGAAAGGTGAGTTATTTTGCGAATCCTTTTTCTTTTTTTTGCACTTCTTTAATGGTTTTGCTGCATACATTTCCAGATATCCTCAGCTGAATTCCGGTGCCCTCCTTGGCTTTCTTTCGGGGCCATGAAATTGATCACCCGAATCCTAGATCCAAATCCCGAAACTGTAAGAAATTACAATACGTATCCTTACCTTCTTAATGGTAACATTTTATATGATTTTACCGATTTCACCATTTATTGCATTGCAGCGTATCACGGTTGCTGAAATATTGGAGGATGAGTGGTTCAAGAAGGATTATAAACCTTCAGTATTTGACGAGAAGGAAGATGCAAATCTGGACGACGTAGAAGCTGTTTTCAAGGATTCCGAGGTGTGTTCTTGGTTCCTCCATGCATCCTTGGCTCGAAATTCAGCAGCAGCATTCAAATGGGTCTAACATATATAAATCCTATATGATATAGGAACACCTTGTGACGGAGAAAAAGGAGGAGCAGCCGGTTGCCATGAATGCTTTTGAATTAATTTCCATGTCTAAAGGTCTCAATCTGGGAAATCTTTTTGAAGTGGAGCAGGTTGGTTCGATCTAGTTCTTATTTGCATTACTGCATGATCTGGTATTAATTAAGATTTTGAATATATATATATATATATAAATAATTTCCCTTAATTACTTGGTTGGAATGTGTGTTTTACTAGGGATTCAAAAGAGAAACGAGGTTCACATCCACGTCCCCAGCCAATGAAATAATTCATAAAATCGAAGAAGCCGCAAAGCCTCTCGGTTTCGATGTCCACAAGAAAAACTACAAGGTGATATGCCTGAGAAAATCGACTCTGTCCTGTTGTCTTGTCTTGTTTTGTCAGTCTGCTTTACGATGCTATCATTGATTGTTTTGTAATTATCCGAGTCCTCTTAGCACTTTGAACAGTATTATGTCTAATCTGTAAAACCGATCCTAATTTCCCAGATGAGGCTTGAAAACTTGAAAGCAGGAAGAAAAGGGAACCTCAAGGTGGCCACGGAGGTACAAAAGATTGTATTTAGTCGAATATGTAGATCATCATCATCATCTATTCATTCTCGTTCAGGTTTTCCAAGTCGCGCCGTCTTTGCACATGGTTGAAGTCCGGAAAGCCAAAGGGGACACTTTAGAATTCTACAAGGTAATGTTGTACCTAAGTACTTGTATGAATGAGTAGTCAAAGTGTAGGTTGTTTTCGTCGATGCATTTGTTTATTAATTATGTATGTATGTGTGTAGTTCTACAAAAATCTGTCGACCTCGCTGGATGATGTGGTTTGGAAAAGGGATGATGAGGACATGAAAGAGAAGTAGAAGTAAAAGTTGCACAGGTACTACTATGTACTTGTATTTAGTTTGTGTGTTAGAATGTACAAGATTAGTAGTAGAGTAGTAGTAGTAGTGTATTTTTATGGTTTGATGGAATGAATTATGATACTTCCTTCCTTCCATCCACATTTAATAAAGAAAATAATAGTAGTCCGTAAGGATGGTCTGGCAGTGTGGTAGTGGTGTATAGTCAACTTGTGACAGTGAGATTATGGATTCAAACTCACCCATGCGCCGTGTGACTTGCATTGTCGGGCTAGTTGAAGTTCACCCACTCCACCAAATGGCCCATTTAGATTTATTAGTTTTGAGAGATTTATTATTTGGCTTCTTCAAGGTATTTTATCTTATTAAATTTATTACTTGTCTTTTCTTTTCTCTTCTCTTCTCTTTTAATTTATTACTAGTATTATTTAATAAGATGGTAGTGGATTTGAAAACCTTCTCTTTTAATATTTTAAATATTCTTTATAATGTTATTTTGAGTTTGTTTACCCAACTTATTTCTTGTGTTACGCATTTTTCATAAATATATATAATAATCTATATAAATATATTCTATTCATCTAAAAAGAATGTTTTAATACAAAATATTGTCTTTTATACCACTGATACGACTGTTTATATCTAATGTAAAAAAAATGTAAAAAAAACATATTTATAAATACAAAATAAATCGACTCCAGTAGTGGTGTAGGAGTGAACTATTCGGTTGTTCATAGTCTAGTCCCGGTGCTTCCTTAAAGTTACAGTGAGCTGGTCCAGGACCTCCGTCATAGGCGGGCGATGGCGGCAGTCATTGTGCAGGCAGCGCAGGGCAATGGCGGCAGCAGCCTGCGCTTCCTTCTTAGAGTACTGCCCCCCCAGTCTCGAGTCCATTATTCTCATCACTTTGCGGCTGTCCCCCAGAAAAGGCCTCGCCCACTCCACCAGCGTCTCGTCGCCAACTCCGGCACACTCATCGCCCACCACCCGCTTCCCTGATACAAGCTCCAGTAGGAGCACGCCAAAGCTGTACACATCACTGCTTGGCGTCAGGTGACCTGCTCCAACAACATTCGATTCCAATTCTATTTGATTCTCAATTCTTTCTTAAAATCAAGGGAAAATTGCAAAAAATATCCCACGTATACCCTATTATCATCACTTTTGGCCGCGCAATATGCCGCACGTAAGAGAGTGTGATAATAGGATATAAGTGTGGGATATTTTTTCCAATTTTCTCTAATATCAAATAATAATGAATGTTTTTTCCAATCCAATCCGAGCGAGCACAAACCTGTTGCTATGTATTCGGGGGCTGCATAGCCTCTGGTCCCTATAACACGAGTTGAAACATGAGTCCTGTCGCCTTTGGGACCCTCCCGTGCGAGCCCAAAATCTGAAAGCTTTGCATTAAAGTCCTATAGAAAGAAAACGCAATATTAGAACCCCATACCCACAATAAATCAATCAATCTTTCTTTTACACATTCCGGTTCATAAAAAATTCCGATTGAACAACACACACACGCAACTTCATTACGCTCTTCCGCACAAATGAGTTCAATCAATTTCTACCACAAAAGGCCATATGCTCTAAAATCTCCATGATTTAGATACAAATCAAAATGTGTCTATAAATGGTGAACCAAAGAAAAATACTTAGATTAGATGTGACCCAATCAGCACAAATCAACAAAGTGGATAGCATAACACATGATAAAACAATATATAACACCTATTTTGACAGTACATAGATATAGTTCCATATAGCAGTGTGTATTATTGATTTCAGCGTAATAAGCATATATACACAACATGGTACAATATATAAACTGAACATTGTGCTATACTATATACTTACATGCACTATCTGCAACCGCGCCATTTTATCAACAATTGTAAGATTCACAATTACTAAATAAGAAAAACATATCTATTTGTTTGTTTATCGACACCCTAAATAGCAAAATCTGTCTGTTTGTGTGTCTGTCTATTGACTATTGTTAGCTGACGGAAGGAGGAGTATGTATTTTCTGTGCAAATACTTGCCTGCCCGCCTCTCCAAGACATTTGTTTGAGTTTGAAAGATGAAAATTATATTGGTAGCAAAAAGTTTATTAATATATATCTAAGTTTAGGATAAGTTAAGTAGAGACCGAATCAAGAAGCACGTTGGATGCCTTCAAGTCGCGGTAGATGACATTGGCGTCGAGACTATGCAAGTAGGACAGGCCTCGGGCGACATCCACGGCAATCCGCATCCGAGTAGGCCAAGCCATAAGCTGCACGCCTTCTGCAAAATCAACACTATCAGACAACAACAACAACATGTACAGTAGAGTAGAAGGAATGGTGTGCTCCTCTCCTCTCCTCACTTCTAAAAAGATGATTCTCGAGGCTGCCTTTCGGCATGTACTCGTACACCAAGAGCTTGCTCTCTGATTCGCTGCAGTATCCGATAAGCCTCACCAGATTCTCGTGGTGAAGCATTCCCAGGCAGTTCACTTCAGCCTGTAAGTAACAAACAACTCTTATCTTAGTCCAAATGTTATGTTTATGCTAATGCTATGTTACTTTACTTATGATGATGATGAATAATAATATGATCAAATTTGAAATTGAAATTGGGTGGCTAGGGTAACGTACGCTCCACTCCCGGTGGCCTTGGAAGCTCTCGGCCTTGAGTTTCTTGACGGCGACAACCATTCCGGTGCCGGGCCGGCTGGGAGCGAATGTCTGCTCGTCAATCCAGCCTTTATAGACGTATCCGAAGCCTCCCTCGCCGAGGAGGCTGTCGGAACGGAAGTTGCGGGTGGCGGTCTTGAGGTCGTTGAAGGTGAACGATTTGAGGTTGCTGGAGAGGCCTTTCGACGCCAAAATTGCGGTGCAAATTGTGCTCGAAATCTGCTGCTGCACCATGGAATTGCCCTGTCCGTCTGGAGTAATCGCTCTCTTACCATCTGAGGGGAGGGGAGGAACAAACAAAAATCATTTAGTACAACATAATCAAGCAAGCAAAGTAACATAATAAGGTCAACAAATAAATCAGTATGAAGTGAAATTGAAAAGCCTAGGAAGGAAGGATTTGATTATAGTAGTAATATTGTTGTACCGGAGAATTGTCCGGAGGAAGCGTGGGCGAGTTTGACAGGCTTTCCCAGGCAAAGCCCCATCGATATGAATATGATGAAGCAAGCGGTTGAGACGTGACTTGAGCGATGAAAGTAAGTAAGCAGAGATGGAGAAGAAGAGGAGGATTTGGAGAAGATGAAGAAGGAGAAAAGTGCAAGTTGAAGAATGGTGAAGCGAACCCAAGTCGGCGGCCATTAAGGAGGAGGAGAGTCTGATGATCTGAGAGAGAGAGAGAGAGAGAGAGGGCGGTCTGGTCAAGGGAGAGGAAGGCGAAAATCTTGATTGAAAATGATGCCCAAGACTACTGACTCACCCATCCATCGCTCATCCCATACTTTCGTAAATTTCGATTTTTTTTTTTATTTTTATTTTTCTTTTATATTTATATTTATTTTTCTTTTATATTTATAAATAAATGGGATTGCTTTGGACCGGCCGGACCTTAGATACAAAATATTATCTTCGTCCCTTAATAAATTATTTATTTTTATATTTTAATCTATTTCATAAAAAATTATTTATTTTTTACTTATCATTATAATTTATAATATATTACATAAATATTATATTAATAATTTTAATTATTTTTATTTTATTTATTGTATATCAATATGATACTTAATATACCAAAAAACAAACAGATATTGAGGGACAACAGAGGGGTATTAAACCCAATACTTTTTATGTCCTATCACAATTGATACTACGACACCTTTTTATTTTTGATAAAAATCATTAAATCAAAATATATTTAATAAATATAAATCAAGTTAATTAACTACATAATATACAATATCATAAATGGCGTAGGACCTACTCAAAACTCCTTTATTTCTATCTATTTTTTCAAAAAAAATAAATATTTTTTATCTATATTTAAAACTACACATCTTTTATGAAATTTATTTATATTAATTATAAATAAACAAAAATATTTTTTTATTTACTTGTATTATAAAAAATTTTATTCTCTACAAAATTATATTTATATTGCATATATTTTTTAATTGCTACATAATTGTTAAATATTTAAACATATACTTTAATTTTTTTTATCATATATATTAGATTTACTTTAAAATTATAAATATTATTAATTACAAAAAAATAATATAATAATATCATAACTCATTATTATTAATTAATTAATTATTCTTATCTTAAATACCGTGTTCCTAATCAAATAGTTCAATTTCGATGGGACGGAGGGAGTATTATTTTGTTCAATGATAATTTAATATAGAGCCGTCAAAATGGGTTGGCCCGCCCCGCCTCAAATTTTAGGAGAGTTGAATTGTGATTTTGTAAGCCCGTGAAAATGCGGACCTAAACAGACCAACCCACGTGGGCTGTGGGTTGAGAGTGGGTTAGCCCGTAGTGGGGCGGGTTAGTCCGCGGGCCAAGTAAATATAATAACTAGTACTCACCCTATCAACTAAATATATTTTTTTTTTATCATTTTTTATTTTTACATTAAAAATTATAATAAAAGTAATCAAATATTAATATCAGAATATATTTTAATTTTATATAAAATACAAATATATCATCATAAATACAATTAATTTATAAATAACTTATAAAGAGAAAAAAAAAATATCAAAATCATCTTGTACATTTTATTTAATAAGTAACATATTATTATTTTTAATCTACTGAAAAGATATATTTTTAGTTAAGACGAATAAAATTAGCTTAAATAAATAAATCAATATTGTCTACACGTGTCTTTTATTTTATAACTCTATTATCAATGTCACTCTTATTTATTTCGATTTTTTATCATTTGTTTTGTTCGTCTTCCATTTTATTGTTTTATAATATTTTTTTATTAAAAAATGTACATATTCATAAAATTAATTATGATTTATTTGTAAAATATTTCTTATTATTATTATTATTAAAATACACTAACTAATAATATTTAAAATTGAGAATTTTTATATTTGTTATTTATTTTAAAATATTTATTATTTAAATTCTACAATAAAACTACTTTTAGCTATTTTTAAATATTAATTACGAAAATATTTATAATATTAATATTTTTAAAAAGCCCATGGGCTAGTTGTTTAATTCGCCAACCGCCGGTGGATTGGGTTGGGTTAATGAAACGTTGATCCGCCCCGCCGTGGGTTGGCTCGCACGCAAACAACCTTCTTATTTGCGAGTTATGGTTGGTTGTGGACCAATCCGCTCCGTTTTGACAGGTCTAGTTTAATCCTTGATTAGGGACACGATATTTAAAATAAGTATATTTAATTAATTAATAATAATAATAATAATGAATTATGATATTATTTTATTATTATTTTTATATAATTAAAAATATTGATAGTTTTAAAATAAATTTAATATATATGATTAAGAAAATTAAAATATATATTTAAATATTTTAAAAATTATATAGTAATAAAAAAATGCAATATGAATATTATTTTATAGAGAATAAAATTTTATACTCCTTCTGTCCGCCTCTAAGGGTTTCATCTACTTTTTGCGTTATTGTACTTAACATTAAAAATATCTTTATATTTGTATAATTTTTTGCACAAATGTCATTATAATAATATTATAAGACATTTATAGAAGTATTTTTGTCATTTTTTCTTAATTTGTATTATATTTTCATATAATAATTAATATTCAAATATCAACACGCAAAAAGTAAATGAAATTCTTAGAGCCGAACAGATGTAGTATAATACAAGTAAATAAAAAAATATTTTTATTTATTTGTAATTAACATAAATTAATTTTATAAAAGATGTAGAATTTTAAATATAGATAAAAATATTTATTTTTTAGGAGAGATATAAAAATAAAAGAGTTTTCGGTGAGTCCTACATAATTTATGATATTATATGTTATGTAGTTAAGTAATTTGATTTATATTTGTTATGTATGTTTCAATATAGTAAATTTTATCCAAAATAAAAATATACTCCATCCGTCCCGCCACAGATGACCTCATTTCTTTTTTGGTACGTCCTACAAAAGATGACCACTTTTCATTTTTGTTAAGTTTATCAATCTTAAACATACTTAACTTATAAATCAATTTAATTAAACTTCTAACATCTACGTAGGACCCACTCAAAATCCTTTTATTTCTATCTATCTCATCGATTAATAAATATTTTTATCTACCTTTAAAATTCCTTATTTTTTTCATAAAACTAATTTATAATAATGATAAATAAATAAATAAATTTTTTTATTAATTTGTATTATATAAAATTTTATTGTCTACAAAATGATATCCATATTGCATATATTTTATTGAGATATAATTCTAAAAATATTTAAAATACCAACACCTTTATACATATAAAAAATAATAAAATATAATCTTAACTTATTATTAATAACTCAATAATCTATATTACATAAAATACTGTGTCCCTGACAAAAAGCTTCGTCTATCGCGGGACGGAGGGAGTATTAATTATCATGGAAAGATAAAAATTAAAATATTTTAACCAAATAACATTGAAGGGTGGAAAGTAAATGAGAAACTTAAACCTATTATGGCTCTATACTCTCGAAACTTTGCAATGTTTTAAATAATAATACTAACAATAAATACAAAATATTTTTTTATAAATGTAAAAAGATTTTAAAAAAAAAATCATACAATAAATAAAAAAAATTAAAAAGTAAAAAAATCAAATATTTAATTTATAATAAAATATTTTATATATTTCACATAATTGTAAATGATTGATAGAGAGTTAGTTGTCACATTAGAACTTATGTGATTTGGACTGTATGGCTGGAATATTCTTGGTTGCAGTAATATTTAAGTCCAGTTTGGATTTATTTTTTGCATGAATTTTTTGTTTTTACCTCTAAAATATTATTTTTGTATTTGTTTGCATTCACTTCGGTTTAATAACAAAAGTAGTTTTTTATGCTGAAAATATTTTTTTCAAAAACACATTAAGGACAATTTTTAAAATAAATAGAAAAATTTTTCAGTTAAAATTACTACTTCCTTCGTCCCATTGGAAGGGTGATATTTGTTTTTTCACGTAGATTTTTGAATATTAGTATTATATTGGATTGTAGTAAAAAAGATAAAAATTACCCCTATTAATATGGTGTAATGTAAAAGTAATGATATTTGTGTAATATATTGTAAGTTGAAAGGGTATTTATTATATTAGGTAAGTAATACAATTACTAAATTAGGAAATGGTAACCTTGTTTCGAGACATATGCAAATAGAAAATGGTAACTTTTCAATGGGACGGATGGAGTATTTTATTCTTAATAATAATAATAATAATAAATACAATATATAATATAATTAAAAATAATTAATTTATACATTATATTTTCATAAAAATTAAAAAATAATTATAATCTTATTTTTTAATTTATATATTATAGTTGAATTAAAATTTAAAATTATGATTGAGATATGAGGAGTATATAAATTTTTTTAATTATACTACAGTAATTAATTTATAAAATTTCAAATACATTGTAAAATATAAATAATTTAATATATTAGATTGTAATTTTAAATTTAATCTATATATTATCCTTATAAATTAAAATTTTAAAATATAAATAACAAATTTTAAAAAGAATATTTTTTATAATTCAAAATCTTTAAATATAAATTAATAAATTTTTAAAATAAATTATAAAAAGTTGTATAGAAAAATACAATTATATTAACAACACGTCATTTCGAGTAATTTTTTAACACTTTAAAAGTACTTTAAACTTTATTATATCAAAAGAGTTTTTTATAAAAAAATTACTTTTATAATTATTCATTCAAATACAAAATCGAATTTCTATTGCTTTTGACTCCGGCTTATTTTTTAAGACAATCCAAATGAATCCTTTGTCATTTAATTTGAAGTTAGTTCTACAATAATTTTCTACCGTATTCTGCAATTTCTAGAATGTTATATTCGTGCACGTCACACTAAAATTGACCGGAATGCACATTATTTTGCTTAATCTTGTTCTACGCTCCGACTTCTCAATTATTTATTTTTTTCGATGACTGTCGATGAAAGAAGGTGAAGTTATATGTATTTTTTTTTATGTGAACTGATTCGGGTTATGAACACGGTCAACATCTATCCATAGTTATATTCGCTTGATTTATGCTAAAATAAAGCATTAACTTATTAATTATATGAATCAATTACATATCTATTCCTACATGCAATCTCATACGTTGATTAAAAGTTTCATTTAATGATTGTAATTTTTTCAGGATGATCCTAAATATTGAATTGAGAAGTATACCGTGATTGTATATATATATCAACCGATATATAAACTAACAATA